AGTTGTTCAAACTGAAGAGGCAATTGAATGGTTTAAAATCAGGAAAGGTGTGATGGCATTGTATCCTTTCACCATACTTATTCAATCAGAATGATGAGCAGGTTATCCAGGAAGCTGGATTATATGAAGAAGAACATGGCGTCAGGATTCAACATTAACAACCTTCAATATTCTTGCTTGTTCATAGGGAAGAGGGCTTAAAATACTTATTTATGAAGATCAAAGACCTTCAGTATGGATTGCACCTCAGTGCAAAGAACACAAAATTCCTCACCACTGAACTAATAAATAGCATCATGATAAATACAGAAAAAATAAAATTTGTTAGAGACTTCATTTTGCTGGATCCACAGTCAACACTCATGGAAGCAGCAGTCAGAAAATCAGTGGATCCACTGTATAAGGCAAATCTGCTTCAAAAGACCTCTTTAAAAGTGTTCAAGAGCAAAGATTTGCGTTTGAGTACTAAGGTGAACCTGACTAAGCCATGATATTTTCAGTTACCTCATACACTTATGAAAGTTGGACAATGAACAGGAAGACTGGAGAAGAATCAATACATTTGAATTATGGTGTTGACATAGAATATTGAAAGTATTATGCGTTGTCAAAATAAGTGCTATCAACAATGCTCATAAGAAGTAAGGATGGTGGGATTTCATCGCTTGTGTTTTGGACATGTTTTCAGGAGGGATCAGTCTCCAGAGGAGGACATCATGCTAGGTAAAGTAGAGGGTCATTGAAGAAGAGGAAGACTCCCCTACAAGGTGGATTGACATAATGGCAACAACAATGGGCTGAAATAAAACAACAATTGTGAGGATGACTCAGGATTGGGCAATGATTTGATCTCTTGTACATAGGATTTTCATGAGTTAGAACTGTTTTTATCATCGCCTAAAAACTACTATAACAGTATACGTTATTGTGTGTTGTTGTGTCAGTTTTGACACATAGGACTCTGTATTGAGTTTCTGGGGCTGTACAATCTCTATGGGAGCATGAGCAGCTGGTGTATTTGAACTGTCAATCCTGCAGTTAACAGCCCAATGTGTAGTCCACTACACCACCAGGGGCTCCCATTACTCATGTTTAGAATACTGTTAATTTTTGTTGTTGATTAGATGTCCTATAGGAGTCCTGGTGTGGTGCTGTGGGTTAATGCTCCATACTGCAAAGCCGTTTGAACTGCAAGTTCAGCAGTTCAAGCTCACCAGCTGTTTCTTGGAAACCCTATACAGGGTTGCAATGGGTCAGAACCAACTCAACGGCACTTAACAACAACAACAAATGTCCTGTTAGCATCACTGAACTCATTTATTAGCTCTGATGGATGTTAATTGATTCCTCAAGATTTTCTATATGTAAGATATGTCATCTACAAATACTGATGACTTTACATCATCATTTCCAACATAGATATCTTTTCCTTCTTTTGCCTAATTGCCCTGTCTAGAACTTCCAGTGCAATATGACTAGAAATGGTAAGAGTGGATTTCCTGTATTGTTCTGGGTCTTAAGTGAACAGTATCCTGTGTTTCATCTTTAAGAGTGAGGTTGTTGTTTTTGTCATGTGCTGTTGAGTTGGTTCGGACTCATAGCAAACCTGTATAGGATTTCCCAGAGTAACTGGTGGGTTTGAACTGTGGGTGTTTCTTGTGATAGGTACCCTTTATCAGGTTGAGTTAGTTCCCTTCTGCTGAATAATTTCATTAAGAAAGTATGTTGGATTTTATCAAATGCTTTTTCTTCAGTATTGATGATCATTTGATTTTGTTTATTTTCTATTGACACAGTATCTTAAACTAATAACTTTTACATGTTAATCAGTCTTGTGTTTCTGGGATAAATTCCATTGGTCATGGTGTATAATTCTTCTTTTGATTTGGTGTGTGTATATTTTGTTGAGACATTGCTGCTGTTTTGTAGTTTTCTTTTTTCCTTGTAATGTCTTTCTCTGATTTTGATATTATGATAGTACTGGCCTTATAGAGTGAGAGGAAGTGTTCCCCCCTCTTCTACACTTGGAAGAACTTTTTAAAAATTGTTATCAGTTCATCTTTAAAAATTTGGTAGAATTTACCTGTAAAATCTCCTGGGCTTGGGGTTTTCTTTGGTGTTTATTTTTATTATTATTCAATCTATTTAGCATAGGTCTATTCAGATTGACTGTTTCTTCTTGAGACACTTTTGTTAGTTTGTGTCTTTCTAGGATTTTGCCCATTTTGTATAAGCTATCTAATTTATTGGGGAGATCAGAGTCTCCATGTAGTAAGCACTGGACAGCGAACTACAAGGTCCACGATTCAAGCCCTCTGCAAAAGAAAGATAAGGTTTTCTGCTCCCACAAAGATTTAAGTCTCAGAAACCCTATACAGGGTTGCTGTAAGTCAGAATCAACTGGACAGCAATTAACAACAACAATCTAACTTATTAGCATACTCAACAACACTTAACAACAACTATTCACAGTATTCATTTATAATCATTTTTATTTTTGTAAGATCAGTAATGATGCCCTTTCTTTCATTTCTAATTTGAGTCTACTCATTTTTTTTCTTGGTCAGTCTAGTTATAGCTTTGCCAAGCTGGTTGATCTTTTTAAAAAAAACTTTTGTTTTCATTGATTTTTTCCCTCCTGTTTTTCTATTCTCTATTTCATTAATTTCTTCTTTGTTCTTTTTTATTTCCTTCTTTCTCTTTGGTTTACATTTTAGGTGCTCTTCATTTTCAGTATCTAATGGTGACAATTTTAATTATTAATTTGTGATCTTTATTCATTTTTAATATAGGCATTTGTAGGTGCAACTGGAGGGTTAGAGAAAAAGAGGAAGCTCCTCAGTGAGATGATTGGCACACTGGTGGAAGCGATAGGCTCAGACGTAGCAATGATTGTGAGGTTGGCCCAGGACCATGGCAGTGTTTTGTTCTGTTGTGCATAGGGTTGCACCTTGATGGCACCTAACAACATCAGTGCAATACACTGAGGAGACAAGCATGTACCTTTCATGAATTTCCAGTTCTCCAAGCAGTTCTGGGTTGATCTACATGTCTTCAAATACAAATGTACTAACTCTGAAGGCTCTAAGTGGCACTCTGGAGTCAATCTAAGGCCCCTATACTCTACAAAGGTTTAATAAGAAGCCTATTTCTCTGGGTAAATTCTAACTCCCCTTTTGAAATCCAGTCAAGTCTAGGCTGAAGACAGGCTTACAGGCTCTCTATAATCATAATTCCCAATAGTCCTTTCACACATGTATATTTATTTTACAGTAATAGGCAGGAGAAACCAATACCCATCAGGCAATCAAACACATAAACATTTAAAAAACACTCAAGTTCAGTCTTTTCCTTTATCTTGAAATAGCCCTTTCATATGCATATTACCTTGAGCCTCTGGTAGGGCCCATCCCCTATATCAGTCTCCAGGCAACTCCAGAAACTGATGCTCTCCCCTCTACTTAAGCATATTTTCCCATCCCTCTTAGTTCTCTCTCTTACAAAATACCATACTTTCATGAGCCGGGAGCCATTCCAATGACTCCTGCTCACAGCGCCAACTACTTAAGTGAAATGGGAATCATGTCTCACTTCCTCTGACTCCGCAAAGAGAAACGAGGACCAAACTCAAAATCAGCCCAAGTCTGATTCCTGTGGAGGTCAGACCTCCCTTCACCCTATATCAGTGCCTTTAAAATTAGTCAGACTTGAGAATCAATTGAGAAAACTCTTACTTAGGATTTTGTTTCTCTAGTTCCCCACTCTCATCAGTACCACATGTCTTTGGCTGAGTTTTCTAGAGAAGCAAAACCACATATGTATATGTATACATATATATGTATGGAGTCCTGCTTTGGTGCTGTGGGTTAATGTGCTGGACTGCAAGGTTGATTTCAACCGCAAGGTCGGCAGTTCAGGCTCACCAGCTGCTGCTTCTTGGAAACCCTATACAGGGTCGCTATGTCGGAATCAACTTGACGCCACTGGTTAAAATCATATTTCATATCCTGTTATAATTCTGTGAAGAAATGCTTCAGAATCTTGACACCACTTATTTTAAATTTCTATTGAAAGCTCTCCTTTTTTCTGCAGCTGATCTGTGTGCAAGTTTTGAAGCCCATCAAGCCAGAAAGTTTGCTCAACTACAGTTTTTTCGTTAGAACTATGTAAGCTGAACCAATTGAGCTGTCACTGGTGTTAGTTATTATTTTTGCTGTTAATCATTGGTCCTTAGCACTTTAAACACCAACACGATTGTTTCCTTCCAAAATGAAGTGGTCTGCAGCTACAGACTTCATTTTCCAGCATTGTCTTGTCCTTTCTTAAAATAAGTCATTTATTGGTAAATGGCTGATTTCCTGTGGCTTTGTCCCAGTAAACTTTTGTAATGCTTCAGTGATTTCACCCTTCTTCCACCCAGGTGTCACCATAAATTTGGTGTTCATTCTTGTTCCAATTTTAGCATAATTCATGTTGTTCCAATAGAAATCTGCTTTCAAACTGATGCTTTAGTCTTCTTAGTACTTCAAACAAGATTGTGTTTAGATATGTTATAAAAAAATTAGTATGTATATTTCGGTGCAAAAAATTTTTTAAATTCATACATTGTTTTTTCATAGTTTACATTTCCCATATATTTCTTGAAGATGCCTCAAACATGTATATGTGTTGTAATTATCTTAAAGATATGAATCATTTCTCACTCATCTATTTACTGTTACTTAGTTCTAAAACAGCCCCTTTTACTGCAGTGCACAACAGGTGACTCTTTTAAGTTTCTCCTTCTCCACTCTGAAGTAATCATACCTTTCTTCTGGTCCAATGGCATTTTTCTAGCTTTTATTATTTTTGACTTGTAATTTTGTATGTAATTATCTTTCTCTGTTGATTATAAATACATCTTTTAATTGCCATATATATTATACATAGTATTTCATTATCAGATGGTTGAATGGGTAAATGAAAAAAATAAATGAATTATGCAATCTTTTGTTTTACAGCCGAGAGACACACAAGATTGCAGTGTTTTACGTTGCTGAAGGACAAGAAGACAAACACTCCATTCTCACCAACACTGGGGGAAGTCAAGCATATGAGGATTTTGTAGCTGGTCTTGGTTGGGAGGTACTGATTTTAAATTATACCAGCCATCCTTTTACTTCTCTTTTGGAGAAGCAGGTTATTTTACTCTTTTCTTTATACCTTTATCTAAAAGAAGCATTATTTTAGCAGATGTAAATTAATAATGGGTTTGTTACTGTTTCTGCCTAGCTTCTCAGCTACAAAGATGCCAGTGGCTAGTACATTGAAAGGAAAGATGTTGACTATTATTATGAGTGAATTAATGTCAGAAAGTACTAAACTCGCAGATTCAGAAAATCTGCTTTTTCTGTTATCTGTAGATTAATGATCTTAAAAGTAAATGACTACTTTGGACTACACAAAGGTTTTCCAAGGATTATGGCTCCATGCTTAGGCTTTAGAAAATTAGTTTCCAGATCATCAACCTCTTAAACATTTTTGCCTCCCTCCCACCCAAATCTAAGATTGCCTCAGAGGGGTATGGCACCACAATAGAGGGCTTTCTCCTGAAAGACTGCTTTGCCAGCAAAGCAAGGAATTGTTGCTGTTGTTGGTAAGTGCCGTCAAGTTGGTTCTGGCTTATAGTGACCCTGCATAGGGTGTCTGAAGAGCAAATGGTGAGCTTAAACTGCCAACTTGCAATTCAAACTGACTTTTCAGTTCAGCACATTAACCCACAGTGCCCCACCAGGACTCCAAAGCAAGGAATAGAACACTTAAAATGGTTAATTTAAGATGGCACTACTTCTCAAATTGATCTCAGAATTCAGTGCAGCCCCTGTTGATTTTTCTTTTAAAATTCATGAGGTGATTCTAAAATTCAAATGGAATTTCAAGGAACCTACAATATTCAAAACAGTATTTTTAAAAGACGTACTCACGGAGAACAAACAAGATGGTGGATCGTGTGGAAGTGCAATGAGGAGCTCCGTCAGCAACAACACAGAATACTGGACCAAGCAGGCTCAGGATGGTGCCAGACTCTGAAGCACATTGTTGTTGTTGTTGTCAGGTGCCATCGAGTCGGAACCGACTCATAGCGACCCCATGCACAGCAGAACGAAACAATGCTCAATCCTGGGCCAACCTTACCACCGCTGCCACCCCCGAGTCCATCAATGATGCCACCTGGCCGATCCATCTCGTTGGGGGTCTTCCTCTTTTTCTCTGACCCTCCACCCTACCCAGCATGACATCCTTCTCCAATGATTGTTTCCTCCGGACTACATGTCCAAAGTAGGAGAGACGAAGCTTAGCCATCCTGGCCTCCAAGGAGCACTCTGGCTGCACTTCTTCCAAAACAGATCTATTGGTTCTTTTGGCAGTCCATGGCACCCTCAGTATTCTCCTCCAACACCACAACTCAAAGGCATCAATTCTTCTATGACCTCCTTATTCACTGTCCAGCTTTCACATCCATATGAGGCTATTGAAAACACAATGGCCTGGGTCAGGCGCACCCTAGTCCTCAAGCTGACATCTCTGCTCTTCAACACTTTAAAAAGTTCCTGTGCAGCAGATTTGCCCAGTGCAATACGTCGTCTGATCTCTTGACTGCTACTTCCGCGAGTGTTGATAGTTGATCCAAGCAGAATGAAGTCCTTGACAACTTCAATCTTTTCTCCATTGATAAGAATGTTGTTTATTGGTCCAGTGGTGAGGATTTTTGTTTTCTGAAGCACATATAAAGTAATATTTAGAAGGTTGGAAGGCTTACAGCTAGGGGAATTTGTAGCAGAAGCAAGAAATCCATTGCTTTCTAATCCAAGATGTTCAGCTGCTCCCGTAGCCAAAACCTTGGGCGAGACCAAGAGGGGAAAGGATCATAGCAGCCACAGACACCTGACAGAACTGTGGAGATAAAGGTGTGGACATTTTTTTTTTTTATCTGTTCATTGGCCTCTTGCTGTCTGCACACCTCCATTCAGGTGACTGGGGGGGGGAGGTGACTGAGTGAGTGGACACCTGACCCCCACCCCTGGAGGATTCTACTATGCATGTACACAGATCTCCTTTAAATTTAAAGTGACAGTTTCCACTTAAAACCAAATGGCAGTGCAAAACGGCCACAGCTGGCCCTGAAGTGTTTATCACTAGGAAAAACACCTAAACGGGGATTGTGGAGCAAGACAGGTAGACTAAAAAGGAAACAGGCTGAAAATTAAATCCTGAGTTATGTCACAATGACCAACAGTGGCTTCTTGAAATTTCTCAGGAAGCAGAGTGAAAACGGAAGCCCACCTTCTGATCACATCTACCTGGAGGCGTTCAGATAGCATAAAAAATACCAGAATACACACTCATCTAAGTATTAAGGCCACAGATAATTCCTGATATGCCCAAAATACAGAAACAGATGACCATATCAGCACATGTCCAGAAACGAGATAAAGTGACTGAGGCAAATAAGCTGGAAGTAGACCTACACTCCATACTGGAAGATGGGCAGGCTTTGGAAGTGCCTGAGAAGGGTTTCAGAAAAATGATTGTAAAATGTATAAAAACACTATACAGTGGAGTTGAGAAAAATAAGGAAGAAATCAGGAACAATCAAATAAAATAGATTATTTGAAACAATTCAAAACCTATAGAAAGAGATCCAAATGATTAATACTAGAATATCAGAAGTAGACAATACACTGAAAGGGCAAAGGAGTAGAATTGAAGAGATAGAAGTCAGAACTAGTGAGATAAATCACTCAACACTACTAAGATGGAAGAGCAAGCAGAAAAAAGGATTAAAAAAAAACTGAAAAAGGCCTAAGATTCATGTTGGACAACATGAAGAGGAATAACTTAAGAATTATTGGCATTCCAGAACAGGAGGAATCACACAAGTCCACAGAGGAGATAGTTAAAGAGCTTCTGGAAGATAATTTTCCTAACATCCTGAAAAACGAAAAGGTAAGCATTCAAGAAGCTCAGTGAACCCCAGGAAAGATAGATCCTAAAAGAAAATCATCAAGACATAATAAACTCTCCAAAATCAAAGATAAGGACAGAATCCTGAAAGCATCTAGGAAAAAGAGAAGTGTAACTTACAAAGGCAAGCAAATCAGATTAAGCTTGGATCTCTCAACAGAAATCATGTAGGCAAGAAGGCAATGGAGAGACATATATAAATCCTGAAAGAAAAAAAACTGCCAACCAAGAATCCTCTACCCAGCAAAGCTGTCAGTCACATACGATGGTATAATCAAAACATTCCAGGATATACAGGAGCTAAGGGATTTTGCCAGAGCCAACCCTGTGATGAAGAACATCCTAAAAGGAGTTCTGTGAACAGAGATCCAACAAGAACAGACAACAACAGAGAGTGATGTACGTGGCAGCAGCATCTAGAAGTCAATCAACAAATGGAAGAGTCGAGAACAGAATAAAATTATAAGAACAAATTCAGAGTATCTGGGAGGTCAGTCTGTGATCAAAACAAATACAGTGTGAATGAAGGTAAACACAGAGGAACAGAATCTAGGTGGTGGGAAGGTGAGGTAGATTACAGAATAAAATAGACTGTCTTAAATGGAGGTAAAAATAAATGGAATATAAGGTAACCACAATGGTGGGGTTAGGGTGGGGGGCTTCGGGGGAGGTGGAGGGAAAGGATGGTAGAGCACAGGGTAAAGGCAGATACATAGTTCGAGTGTTGGGGAAGGGAGGGCGAGAAGGTAGAAGAACAAGATATGGGAACACTGAGATAGGTTTCCTTAGGCTAAGTGGGACAGAGGTAAATAGTGAAGCATGCTTAACCTTGGAACAACAGGGCTCTGTGATACAAGGATCTAGGCATAGTTTGAAGAGGATAAATAGTACTAAGCTGTTTGACTGTCTTATGAATATTGATTTTCCTTATCTACTATTGTAAAATAGACAGTTGAGTGGGATAGAAAGGAAATGTTGGGAAACATGATTATAGGAAACTTGTAAGCTCTTCTTCAGCCTATAACTGATTGGAATACCTAAAAGGGGTTCTAGAACTTTCCCAGTGAAACAAGCCTCTTGCAGAGCCTTTGCAGAGTATTGGACATTAGGTGGAATCCTGAGTCCCATCCAGAACCTTATGAGGTGGGACATACCCACTAGCAAGGACAAGCAGACCAGCCTGGAGCAGCTAGAGCAACAGAGCATATATCTTCAAAGAAAGATCATCAGGAAAAACCCAAAACAAAAATGTCAGCATGACTGGTTACTACAAGAATAAGTAACCTGTTCACCAGGAAGCCATCAAGGCAAGCAAATCAAGTTCCTGCAAGACAAACTCCCCCTCTAAGACTGAAGCTCAAAGGGAACACATGAACAGGCATATAAGCTTGCTTGTGACCACATTGGTCTATTGGTGAGTGGAAGAGGGGGAAAAGCAGCAATGAAGCAATGGGCTCGGTTCAACCAGTCCAGTGACTCCTGTTGATCTGGAGATGAGATAGAGAAGAGGAAGGGCTGGTTGGTACAAAGTGTGGTGAGACCTGAGGACACCTGAGCCCATGGACAAGGACATAGCCACAGAGGACTAGAGCTGAGAGTGAAGCATCCAGCTGATATGAAGTGAGGGGAAATGCACAAGTGTCGGGGTTTGACCTCGACATAGTTGTGTTGTTCACAAGTGTTTGGTTCACGAGGAGGGGAGATCCAGCGGCGATAGGGATAGCGAAAGAATACACAGACAAACAGAAGAAGGG